TTTTTGCTGCTTGTTTAAAAATATTTTCATTCAGGGAGCTTTAGTAAGCTACTTGGGGAAAAAAAAAAATCATAATTGTCAGAGCATAAAAAGCAGCACTGACCCTAGAGTTCTTTGCTTAAGCTTCTGCATCAGTATTTTCCTTCCAGGTTTAATATTGAGCCAACCAGGTAGTACTTAGGGACTTAGCTGCAACTAACGTTTGCTTTATACTTACCCCAAGCCATAGTGTTTGGTATTTAAAACAGGCTGACACTGAAAATTCATTTAAAGGTCCACTTCACTCATTACATGTTTTCGCAAATAACTCACTGATTTAAGTAATTGAAAACATACAACCCCCCCCCAGAACAAACAGTAATCTCGCATGCCATCTGCACAAAGACATACATAACGATATAATCCACCTTCTATTTCCAAATTTAAAGGTGTGAACATACAAACACTCACACACAAGCAGAGACTTGAAACAATCATTTTTCAATCCCAGCTGTAGTAAAAAAATGCTATTCATTTATCCCTTAGAAGAAACCATGGGAAAAATAGTTCTGAATAGCCTCAGTTTCTCAGCTATACATCAACAGCATTAATCTTAACATATTTTGAACCAAGCAATTTAATTAATAAAACTGGCAAGAGCCTGTCTGTTATTGTTATTTAAAATAGCAATATTTGTGCTTTGTAAAGCACAAAAAAGTTTTATTGCTCCTTTAGTCGTTTAAGGAATGTTGACGTAGTATGCCAAAATATTTACACAACACTTTATCAATATCTTGATTCCTGAATAAACTTACTTATTAACCACACATAAGACCTTCCATGAATAAATGATGATGCAATTTTTCCTAGTTTTTTGGAGTTGTTTTGTTGGGGTTTTTTTTGAGGGGGAATATTCTTGCTCCCATGGTTTAATTTCCCAGCATTTCTAAGTTTCTTCCCAAAGAATATTTCTTCCTTTCAAGCTCATAGCCTGAGATACCTAAGATATGCAGAAATTGTTCAATTGTACAAAAATTCCAGTCAAAGAGATAATGTTCCAGTCAAGATAAAAATCACTGTAGCGTCAAAACAGAATTTTTCAAATTATTCCTAAAAGTTTTGATTGCCCCCCAGTACTAAGCACTATTATGTCAAAATACTTTATCAATAATTGAATATTTACATATATGATGCACTAGAACAAAGGTAAAATTGATGTTCGCTACCATTTGGTAGTGGACATGTAAGATAAAATTGATGTCCACTATTTTGCTATCAAAAAATAATAAATATCTTAGAAGATTTTAAGGAGCAGCAAAATTTTGACTACCATCCCAATAAAAGGAGGGTATGAACAAACACTATGTATATTTTATTATTATTAAGCTGTAAGAACCATTAATTAATTGTTACTTTCCTTATGAGTGTTTTAATGGGTTCTGAGCAGGGGAAGGCTTTTTTTCTTGCTGGTAGCTGCCCAAACATATTCAAAATGATGTCATCATGTTCAATATACATTACTGCCAACCTGACACTTTAATCAACTCTTCAATGTTAATCAGGTAGTGACATGTGGAAGCAATATTTCAATTTCTGATTTAGAGGAAATAAAGCAGGAGTAACCACACACAAAAAAGCAGTCCTTGTTTGTGTGCTTTGCCTAACACCTTTCCTAAAACTGTAACACAAGTACAGACTTAGATGTGGAGCAACCATTGTAGCAGATGGTGCATTATGCAGCTCAGACAGCGAGGGCAATGTGTGGTGGTATCCCCTAGGCAGATTAACCTCACTTGCCTTGTGCTGAGGATTTCCTCTTACTTCTGGCCTGCAGTTCCCATACTCTGCTTCGGGATAAGCAGGGTACAGTTTTAGTGGGGATTTAGAAATAAGACTTCTGTTATTACTAATAGGAGATGCATGACTAATTCCCAGTGCATGTGGTAGAAAGACAACCTGAGGGTCTGTTCTGTTTTCAGCAGCAGATTGATTTTATTTCAAAACCTAAATGGAACTCTTCAAAAATACTGAATTAAAAGCCTGATTTGGGTCTATTTTATTGGGATTGCCCTCTCCTGCAGTGGGACTGTAATCCTCAGAAACAGGCAAATAAATTAACTCCCTAGACTTTTCCCCATCTCTCCTACAGTTTTGGCACCAGATACAGAGGAGAGAAAGCAAAAATAACTTTCATATTTCTTTCTGCAATCAAATAAACCACAAAGTAATAACCTGGATGTAGTGAATGGATATTTTGTAATGATTTGTCACATATTTCTATGGTGAAATAAAAGGGACTACTTCACAAGTAGCTCATCACTAAATTTCAAAATAAGCAAATCACTGTATATGTAGGAAGCCAAAGAATATTTTACAGCACATGCTATTTTGTCAGGTTTAAATAGGTGGCACACCATTAGAGAGTTACTGGCTAAACCAGTGCCCCAGTTTCAAAGGGCTAACTGGAGGCTGGATCCACACGTTCAGAATTTCATATGACAGAAATTCAATATTTGATTAATATTTTAAAAATCATAACTAATTACTGCAATAAAAAAGAAACCTGAACAGGGAAGAAAGATTGCCATGGATAACATATTGTTTAAAAGTCAGTGAATCTCAAATTCCTAGCTTCATACAGCAAAAAGTAATTAACGTGACAAAGCACAATCAACAGATCCAAGTGAAAATTCAGATTTAGGAACATGCATGGCTCTAACTGTAATTGTCCCTCTCCCCTAGAGACAATGACCTGCTACTTTAAGAGGCAATAGAAGTGAAAACCAATCTCAAGGAAGAGTAGGCAAGTCAAATATCTAGTCACTGAAACCTGTTCTGTGTGATCCAAAGAGCAATCCTTTGTTTCTCTTGGCATCCTACAAAACATACACAATAAGGGGGGGGAGGGGGGAATGAAATCTGCTTTCCAAGGTGTAATTCAGTACAGCAAAATTGGTGTCCAAACAATAAAAAGTTGTAAACTGTGTCTCATCCACTGTTTCTCAGAAGGATTTGTTGTAATAGCTGTTTTGTAGATGTTCACTAGCAGACTGTGATGTAGTGAAGGAATTGCAGATTTATTGCAAACTATTTTCAAAGTGTACAACTGTTCCCTACTATAGTGGGCACTGAAACCTCTATCAAGAAATTACAGTTTAGCTCATGTGAACAGGAAGAAAAATGACAACAGTGTTCAAGATCCATTATCACTCTTTCTAGGGTTATAAAAATTGCTTGCAGATGATATTGCTTGTGAAAAGAAAATTAAACTCTAGGTTTGGAAATCTATTGGTGAATGACTACATTCCAATTGCTCACTGTGTTTCAGACAACACATGAACTTTGTTACTGTAAAATAAACCTGGTGACGATTTTGTGTTTATTGATATGAAATCTGTGATTTTTAGGTATTCTCAAGTTGTTATCTCTGAAAACACCATCTGTAACCAAAAGTTACCCAGCTACCCAACAAGAGGATTTTGCTGACACAGAATTACAGTCTTCTCTGTAATTTTCTAGGCTTCCACATCTCTGGTAATTAATATGATAGGCAGACCCAAAGAATCATGAATTTCTCATGAACCATATATGTTGCACATGCAGTTACTTCTCTCAAAAAATGTACATTTCTGTCCGTTATTATCATTTTATTAGATACTAAAGTTGAACCTTTCCTAATGAAGTCATAGCTTGTCTTCATTTTTAGGTTAACGGGCTGTACAGTAACATTACCTAGCATGTATTTTTAAGGGACATAAGTGTCCTTAGGAATACCATCTAAAATGTTAAATTCAACACAACAACAAAATATTTTACATACTGTTTTGATTACAATCTTATATCAAAGTTCACATGGTGTTTACAAATATCCTAATGCTTGGAGGCAAGTTTTCGTAATATTTTAACAGCAAAGTATCAATACTCTTCAAACAAAAGCAAAGGAAATGGCCTGTGTCTTCCGTGTAATCCTGCAATTAAGGCGCAATTTACTACTTATTAAAGCCAGAATCCCAGAATAATCCTCTAGGTCTGGCAGTCAAGCACACCATATAAGAATATGAGCTACTATGATTCTTTCCCCCATCATACTGACATTTCCATTTTTATCCCTGTGTCATTTATATAAGCTGCACAAAACCGTGGCCATGAATTTTAAAGAGCTCAGGTCACATTAGGGTCTCTTTCCTCTTGATGAGATTTTGAAAGAGGAGAAAGACTGCATACTTGAAATTAGGATCCTAAATAAAAAAACCCCACAACTTAATAATATGGATCTTATTTCATTTTTCTTCCCCATTTTAAAAAAATGCAGCCATTTTGAATGCTGAAATGTCTTTTTATTGGATAATGATTTTTTCTTGATGATAAGCACAGAAAAAGGAAGTTATTTTCATCTTGAAAGATAACTTAAATACTTAATTTTGAAATACAGTTAAAGACTCCTCAGAGGTATATGCATATATATATATATTATTTTTCACATAGCTTAGAAAGAATTTATTCAAATTCTCTGCTAAAGTCTGTTTCTGCAATTCTGGAACTGCACTGCATGCAATATAAGTACTACCATCTCACACAGCATGTTATTAGCCTGAACTGTATGTGCTTTTGGGATACTCAAAAGTGTTTTCAGTACTCATCTCTGCCTGAGGCCAAAACCATGTAAAGAAGAGCTGTCAAGAATTGTTTGTATTAAATGAGAACACAGCATAGAGAAGGAATGGATAAGAAAATTAGCATATGTAAGAGTTTTGTTTCACCTCCAGTTCCATTTCTGAAACTCAGATCCAATCCTAATGGATCTCTTTAACTATGGCTCCTATTAATACATAAGATAAGTCATATGCCTAATAGACCACATATCTGAAGTACTATTGAAAGAAGCAAAAGAGACAATATCAGCAAATCTGTACTAAAAATTGAGATGAAAATTGTGCTTGGAGTTTATTTGGTTTTAAGAATGGGACACAAATAATAAGCTTAATATTAAAATAAAATCACTTTGTTCATATGCTACTTACAGCCTTCATAAATATCTGTTGGTATGTGGACTGCTGCATGTTGGTAAGATGTTTGCCGCCGGAAAACAGGATCTTCTTCAAATACTGGTCTGATTCTCTGGCTGCCAGATTCAGTGTCATTCTTTTCAGGCTTTTTAAAGAAAGACATGTAAAGGGCAAAATATTACAAAGTATGCTAAAAACATTTCCATTCACATTTGCCTCTTTTTACATAACAGACTCATAGCCTTTCTTTCTTAGCTAACATTTTGCATTATACATTATACATATATACAACATTATACATTGTGTATAAACACACTTTTTTGCTCCAGGTCCAGAAATATTTGTGTATACTTTATTTTGAATTATGAGGTACCCAGTGCAACTCAGTGAAATGAAAAGCTGCAAAAGAAAAGTGAGAGCCTAACACCTTACACACCTAAATTTCATAAGCGCATGGAATTTTTATACCCATAATGCAAGGTAAATACCTTCTATTACATGTAATAATTTGTACCGAATCTTAAATATAAATACTGTATATCTCATGTTTTCCTTCTGCAGATTATATAGTAAATCACAAATCTCAAAATGATACCACTAATATACATTTCGTAAATAGATTTTTGAGAAACACTGGTGCACATCCAGACAAAGGAAGGAAATTAAGCCTTCTTAGAACTTCTGATTGACATAGGTTTTGCTCATTAGTTTATCTTAATAATAAGTCTCGATTAAATCTCCTGTACTCTCCTGGCTACAGCTTCCTGGGTGGAACGATTCCCAAACACTCAGGTGCTCACTACCACCTGCCTGCCTTGCGTCCCCATCCTCCCTCACCTGTCTGCACCCTGGCTTCTTGATTCCTTCTAATTCACCCAGTCATTTGGAGTAGTTTTCAAAAATTGTGAAAAGCAGAGGCTTTTTCTAACTCAGCTACAAAAATTGCATGAAGTGTGGAAACTAAGGAGGTAGTGCAGGCCGAAGGGGAGGCTGCAATGTCTTCATGTGGCTCAGCTGCAGCTGGAACAGGAGGCCCCATGGCATGAGTAGACTGCCACTCAAATGAATAATGAATCAACTATGATACCGATTGATTACTCAGGCCAGCAATTGTAGGCAATTATAAGGATATTTTTAATACTACAGAGTCGTCAGCTTTTGAAAATGTGTTACGCTTGAAAAATAGTGCTGACAAAGAAGCACCTGTCTGGTCAGTCAGGCATGTGTGTTCTGTGGCTATTCTTTATATACTACCACCGTGTCTATTACCCCCTATCAAAGTATAGACAGCTAAATTTTAACTTACTCACAAAGTAATCTAATTAAACTGCATATGTTTCCTCAACTGCTTCATCACAGGGTTATGGACAAATGTTATACTAAGTATAGGTTCAAATGTTGCCTGAAGTAAGCAGCGGTCTCAGATGGGTTTCAAGGAGGTGGTTTTGTTCAGAAACACAATGGGTAGAACTCAATTAACCAGTGTCATCCACTGATTTCAACAACATAGCAGTGTTGAGCTCATCACCCCAGGCTGCCTTCATAGTCAATGAAGAGAAATGGGCATTTTTAGAGTGCAATTCATCTCATCTCAATTAGACACCTATTTTCCCATGACATGAATCATGCCTTAGAAGTGCCTCCTTCTTTCCATTGACTATAAAGATAGCCTTAGGGCAATTCGCCTAGACGGAGAAGTCGCAATGCAGCTGTCTAGAATTAGGTGAGATGAATCTCATAATACAAGTCTATTAAACTTCTGGAAGAAAAGAAGGTGGGTACTAATTTTGACTACTTTTATGCAGCATAGCTACTGTATCTTCTGCTAAGAAGTTGAACTTGTTACTTAGTACTTAACCCCACTCTGGTGGATGAGACAGAAAGGAAAGCACAACTCCTAATACTCAAAGTAAGGGATGACCTTTTTTCTTTAAGCAAACCTATCACCAGGTAAAGTCCAGGTATATCATAGCATTAAAAAATCTAAACTGATAAAATGTGTAAATTACTTAAAAACATTCTTCTCCTTGGAACACCTAAGACCACATGGTGCCTTTTACTTTCATGTGTGTGGTATTATTTTCATTAATAGTTCTAGTGGACACAATGACCTGCTGTTAGGGACATTGCCAGAGGACTTCTGAATATCATACTTTTGCATTGAGATGCTTCTAAGACAGTAATGTTTTCATTTTGGAATGTGGATTAGAAAAGCAGGCAGTACTTGTACAATGCAGCCTGAAATGCTATGATCCAGTATGCCACTCTCTTAAATCTACCAGAAAGTAAAACCATTTATCGGGTCTGGCTGGGATGGAGTTCATTTTCCCCACAGCAGCCCTCATAATGCTGTGCTTTGTATTGGTAGCTAGAAAGGTGTTGATAAGACACCAATGTTTTGGCTACTGCTGAGCAGTGCTCGCACAGCATCAAGGCTGTGTCTCCAACGTTCCCCCCTCACAAGTAGGCTGGGGGTGGGCAAGAAGTTGGGAGGGGACATAACTGGGACAGCTGACCCAAGCTGACCCAAGAGATATTCCATACCATATGAAGTTGTGCTCAGCAATAAAAGCTAAGAGAAAGGAGGAGGGGAGGGAGGCATTTGTTATTAAGGCATTTATCTTCTGGAGCAACCGCTACATGTACTGAGGCCCTACTTCCCTACTGGACATTGCCTGCTGCTGGGAAATAGAGAATAAATCTTTTTGTTTTCCTTTGCTTCCATGCATGGCCTTTGCTTTTCTTTATTAAACTGCCTTTATCTCGACCCATGAGTTTTTTGTCATCTTATTTTCTCCCCCCTGTCCTGCTGGGGAGGGTGAGTGATAGAGAGGGGAGTGATAGAGCGGCTTAGTGGGCACCTCTAAGTGTCAACCCACCACAACCCACCACAAACCATAACTTACTTTGAAGTGTACAAACTGGAGCCAGGATCAGTAACAGTTTATGTGTTCTATGATTTGAAATGACACAGCATTATGATAGCTTCAGACAATGTAATTTGGCTCAATTTTTACATAGGTTTTTGGTGGGTTTTTTTCTTCTACATTATCACACAAGCTTTTGCATCCTGATTGACTTTTCCTGGGAGCATTTTGTGATGTACAACTCTGATATTGAAACAATGCATCTATCTGCCTCCCAAAACCCAGAGGCACCAAATGGCAAAATCCTTTAAAAGTTCTGTAGTTTCCTTCACACAGGATTAATTTTGCTCTTAAATATAACAGTGTCCGTGCTAGTTCTGCACGCAACAGGCAAGTATCAGAAGCACTAGAGGCAAATTAATATTGCACTCACTTAGGTCACTACCTCATGATCGGCAAGACTAATGCTGTGCCAGGTCTTACACATCCAATGTTTATAGTGGATCCTCCTATATAAAGTAAAAACTATTTAGTTTTCATTTGCAAAATTTATGAATCAGAAGTAACCTACATCTAAATCAGGAAAAAAAAAAAAAAAGATAAGGAAAGATTAAAAAGGAAAACCTCAATGTTATTAATTATTTTAGTCTGGTATTTCTATCAAAAGCCTGACAGATTGTGGCATTGGTTGGTACAGTTTTAATATCCAGTTAAACTTTGTTTTTGAGGAAAGTAGCAAAACACATATTTTGAAGGAAAGTAATACAGCATGTGAATATAATTAAAATCCAACTCCAAAGAATTTCTCTCTCAAGTCAGAGGCTGAAATGCAATCAATACTGGCACCAGAAAATCCCACAGGAGACAGTGGCTGAAGATTAATTTTCTATCTATTCAAACCTGGCCTTCAGTTATTGAATTACATTGTTACCTACCACTGACAGTCAGCAAAATAACTCACTCATTTCTCTGCAATGAATCTCCAGACCAATTTCTCCCTCCCTTGTGAGGCAGATAAAATCCATTTCTCTTTTCAGTTCACATTTGTGCCATTTTAAGGCTTTTTTTTTTTTTTTAAATAAATAAAGTATTTTTTCATGTGTCTACCGTTCCCCATCAGAATAAAGGGAAATTGATATAGCAGCTAAAATTCAGGTAAAGTGGGTTCTTCTGTAGGTGTTCTTCATGATCTTGGCTAAATCACATTTTCCATGATCTAAAATAAAGTGGAGGTTACCTTCTGTTTTTTGTAAGCCAAATACATAGCAGAAATAATTCAACTTCTCTCTCAAGGACTTTGTGAACATAAATTAATGTGTGTACATGAGGTAACTGGAAGCTTTATGCCAAGAAGTATCACTGAAAGATGCATATAGAAAAGCAAACAACCGTTAAAACAAAATGAAACAAGGTCATTTCAAGAAACTCTGACATAGTTTAGCTGCCCATTTCACTGCAGCCAAACGTATCCCGACTCCTTTCCACAGCATTCAGTTACTTTTCATCATCATAGCCATAGGAAGATGAGTGGATTTTGTATCTCTACTAGTAAATTTTCATTTAGTTGAAAAGCACTGGTTACTGTAGAAATGAGAAATATTTTTTCCACATATATAAAACATTGTTTTTTGCTTCTTGCAGCTGTTGAAAACTGAAGATCAGAAAACTGATATTAATTAAAAATTACCATCAATAAAAGACACAAAAAACCACAACCAAAATGAAGCAATCTTCAGTTGTTTCCTGAAGGCAGACTGTTTCCAGGAACAATGTAGAAGTTGCTCAAAGCATCAGAACAGATTTAGCATCAGGACAAAAGAATAAAAGGTAGATTTTTTTAATTCCTGAACCAATATCCAGCAAGAAACAATGGCTCCTGCCTGCTTTCATACTTACGTAAAACAGAAAGGAATTGGTTGCTAGTATTTTCCATTGCCCTAGGGCACTGTGTTTTGCATAAAACCTCACTGTCCCTATCAATGCCATTTTAGAGAATGAATACGGAAATGGAATTAGAATTGTTACGGTTTTGGGGACATCAAAATTCTTACTCAGTCCTTCCTTTCTTCTTTCCTTGCAGATTTCAAAAAGTTTCATATTTTAATGTTTATAAGTTTTATATTTTCATCAATCCCCTTTTGATTTCTGAATATCTGTTGAAATTTCTAAACGTAAAATTTTAAACAATAGAGTTTCCCTGCCTATGCTTCTTTTAGTCCACTCCCAGACCTACCCTGTACAAACAAATGCTATCATACACAAAATAAGCATAGAATTT